TTGTTTCATTAGAAAAGGCCGTGATTATCGATCATGATCGCTGTAATTGAGTTCATGTGTAATTAAAAGCTGAAATATATCCGATTATGTTATCGAAAAAGTTACTTTGACCAAATCTGTTTTGTTGGCGTTTTCGAGTGTTTATTTGCCATGGCGTTGGTGTGCTGTACTCTGTTTGTTTGGAGGCATATCTGGAAAATTGTTCATGCATATTTTTTCCTGGAATGAGACGAATAAATTGAATGGTTGTGTGTACTCGATTGCATGGATGCTTCCATGGTTTGTGGGTCTGCAGAAAGCTGAGATGTTGTTTCCAGTGGCGGCCTCCAGGTGGCGCCCTACATTACGCAAAGAAGTCCTGCCCAATGTCTTTTATCATTTCATCTCACTTTACTGTTGCAGGAGTTGGAACTGAAGTACAGTACAGACACTTTTTAGCTTCCAACCAGAAGTGTTCAACCATCGTTAAGCGTTTTAGGTAGAAGTATAGTCCTCGTTATGAAACAATAAACACATTACTGGCTGACTGAGAAAAGAAATCTCAACTCTTTTTGTGGTTTGTCAACACATGATCACATAAAGTGGGAAAGTAGCCAGGTAGTTTTTGGCTTTACTTTAGGCTTTTCTGTTTTCTGCACCTGCTCGCCTTTGATTCCCTTCAGTTAAGCTCTTCTCTTTTTGATGGATTTATTTTCAAGGCACAAACTCAGCTGTCTTTAAAGGTTTGCTGGGCCCGTCGGTTATTAAACGGGTTGTTGTCTTGATGAAAGACCCCCGCTCCCTGACATTTTTTCTCTGAAATCCTGTAGTCCTCCTCTGGTTTCGACTTTCAGTAGCTCCAGGCAGCGAGGCAGATTTGACTTTGATTTGCATTCCTAAGCTAATAAGCTAATTCTGATGAGCTTTCTAATGACGGATGAGTTCCTTATGAACTGTATCTGTAATATACATCTTTAATCATGCTGTTTTCTGCCTCTTTGAAGCTGATTTTGTCTTGTGTGAAGAACCAAACCGCAGACTTATTGAATTTTTCTTCATAAGACTACATATGGGAAGCACTGTAACAGTCTTAGAAACAAGAAAAGGCTTAAAACAATAAACAATAAATCTTTCCTCACATCCAACATCATTATCACACAAAGTGATACACGTCTCTCCAATGTGAAAACTGAAAAAACACTAACTAAAATGGCTTCATGACAAAACAACACTCTCCATTAAAAGTGGCAGAAACGTGTGTAAGTGTGCAGCTCAGATATGCAAAAATCAATTTAATATCAAGCATCTGACTGAGGCAGAGTGGAATTAAAGGTCAGTTTTTATCCGTCACTTTGCAATTTCCCGTTTGGAGGAAAGAGAAGTTGCTATTCCTTCATATTGGGACACTGGCCTTGCGTCCTGACAAAGGCAGACTGAATAAAACTGAGGTTTTCATCAGGAGAGGGGCTCCAACACCTGGAGACTCCCACTCAGGATTCACACTCTCTCTGGAGGCGTTTTGATTGGATCATGTGATCTAAAGACTGGTGCTGATCACCTGGAGGATGAGGCCGGTGCCCGGAGTCGGAAACGGGGCGTCTGGGAGCCTCAGGTTTGCTCACTGGACGCAATCAAAGGGGAATTTAATCCGTGGAGCAGGGAGTGTGCATTCCTTCCCCAGGACTCGGTCCTACGGGGGCTCAGCGGAAAACACGGAGGGCTCCCGGAGCAAGAAGTGACTACTGGAATCCATCCGCCCATTTACTCTACCCTCTGATTCAGAGTGGGGGCCCAGAGGGTTACCGGGGGTTACCGGGGGTCAGGGTCAGTGCTCCAGACATTGGAAAAATCACTTCACCCTCTAAATAAAGCTGTAAGTGAACACATCTTTATTTATTATTGATTTATTTACTTATTAATAGCCATTGCTATGTCACTGTGTTCCTGTTTGGGTTGGACAATCATTTGATTTATCATTTGTAACATTATTAAAGATGTTTACAACTCTCATATTGTATTCATCATAACAATTTATCTTGGTTTTAGCATGCATAGTTCAGTTTTAGCCTATTTTTTTTTGCTGTGGTGTGTGTGAACCCTGTGGGGTTAGAGGGACTTAAAGTATAATTTGGTGGTTTAGGACACTTTTAAAGTATTTGTTACACAGAACAATAGTTTTAAGAGACACTCACACATCTCTCAGAGCCTTCTGAGAACTGACCCCACTTTCCAGGTAGAAGTTTAGAGAGAAAATGAAACAGAATTTCAGACATAAATGCAGAAAAAGGAGCCAAACGTAGTGAGCTGTTGGGTCCATCTCAAACATTTCTCTCAAGCTTATTTAAAGGATTGTAATGTCTGTGTTTGGGCCTTTGAAATTAAGAAAGCAGAATAAATCAACGTTTGACATGTTCACAACGTGTGTGTTTCTCCGCCCATCCGGGGACTCGAACCGGGGACCTTCCGGTGAGGAAAAACACGCTCTCTCCCGCTCTGGCCCCGGTCCGCTCCGCTCCGGGAATCCAGCTCGGGGTTTCCAGCGGAGGCTGCCCCGCGCTGGGAACTCCTCACCGGCCGGACAGACCCGGACAGATCCGCAACAAGTGTCCGGAGAGGAAACACTTTTTTTTCCAGCGGAACATATACCCGAGAATCGGAAACGAGACCCCGGACCCCCAGCTCCCTTCTCCGTTTCCCAAACAAAACCATCAGGTGGGGGAAACAAAGCGTTTTGGCTTTTTTTTTTTATTAATGCACCACCGCTCATCCGTGCACTGCGCACTCCAAAACATGAACAATACGCTTATTGCGGCTGTTTTTCTGTGTGTTTCATGCGCAAAGGGAGCCGCTTGCCCGTGACAGGTGGATGTGCGCGCAGACATGAGATTCGCCCTGCTGACGCTGCTGTGCGGTAAGTGGGCCGTGCGC